GTCTGTTGGTAAAGGTTGTCAAAAAGACTCTTTGTATATTCTTATTTAAATCGACAAAAATATAAAGGATTAACATTGAAATAACCCCCCCACCTCGTATATTTAACTAATTAATAGTCTAGGGTGAGATCAAGTACATGTTGCTGTCAAATATATTACCAACGGCTGCAGGTGTTTAATGTAGGATATTTTCAATTGTTGGAGGATATAATACCACCCAGTAGCACAGAGTTCCACACACCGCTAGTCCGAGGGATAAATATATGTTCAGAGTCAGAGAGAGAGGTTCTAGAGGTTGGGATACTGACGGAAGAGGTATGCGTTCTCCCAGGTGGGTTAGTTAGGCTGATGATGGGTGTTGGTGGTATAGCTCGTCATAACACTGACTGTGGGAGTATCTATACAACAGGGAGAGTGGTGAGAGGTTCCTGTGAATGTGTAGTAATAGAAGGTTTCTGGTGTAGTGCTCCAACGCCACACACAGCAGTAGAGCGGCCACCAAGGAAGCCATACTGTTATTAGTTACCAGAGATAGGAAAGTAGGTTGGATGGATCACAGTGTTTTTCTTATATCATATGACCTTCATCAGTTCATATCATCCTGGTTAAAATATATTCAGTTCTTGGCCAGAGGGACGACGCACTGGGGAATAGACATGACAACGACATTTGTCTGATCTCTCTCGGGTGTATGCCAACATATTCTGTTCACGAAGAAAGGGAGACTGTACTATACAAAGAGATAATCTGAAGAACTTGAAGAGAACGGGATGAAGCTCTATAAAACATAATTTGAGAACTGGTGAATGATTCCTGGCTGGACAGAAGCTCTTGTCTATCTTTTACATCGTCCTTATGTTTTTGACACATTTTGATGTTTAAATTTTGGCGCAAAAAAAAAAATAAATAAAATATGCACCTCCAAGTCCAGATGAGAAACCTCTGGAAGTCTGAGGTCAGTGAAACCATACTGCGAGTTGAGAGGACGAATGTTTACTGCAGTTAGAGCTAATCGTATCAAAAGTGGACCAGAACAGTTTGATATTATATTAATTGGTCTGAAATATGGACGATAACTTGTACATACAATATTTGATTTACATAACTTAGCAATTATCTCAGTATGACAGTATAATCTCTTCCTTGTGCGTGTCATTAGTGTCTGTGTTTGCCTTTACATTATCAATTACTACAACGGTACAGGAATTATTGAAACATTTGGTGGTTCATTAAGAGAATTTTAAAATGTTTTCTTTGAGGTATAAATCCCTCCATCCTGACGTTGAGTATATCAGTAGACAAGACTAATCACCAAATAAGGAAAACCAAGAGAAGCTAAAATCCTGAAACATATCCCAGTCAGCATGATCTTACTGTAAAGCCATTTGTGCGCTTTTACGACTTTTCATTAGATGAGCTTTGAGAGCACAGTTGGCGGCAGACGAGGCGATGGTCAGAGGAGCCAAGGGGAGAGGATTGTGAGAGAGTAAGAGTTTGGATAATTACTGTATTGGATAGATCAAACAGGTGTCCAGTGTGGCTAGCAATATCAAGGGACCAGTGTGTGAGTGTTGACCCGTGTGAGTGTTGATCCGTGTGTGAGTGTTGACCTGTGTGAGTGTTGGCCCGTGTGAGTGTTGACCCGTGTGAGTGTTGGCCCGTGAGTGTGTTGGCCCGTGTGTGAGTGTTGACCCGTGTGAGTGTTGACCCGTGAGAGTGTTGACCCGTGTGAGCGTTGACCAGTTGCGTAAGATTAAGTGAGGTGACAAAGTGTTGCTCCACACCAGCAGTATACATCAACCATTGTGTGTTGTGGATGTTGATACGAGTTTATAAAAGAAGAAATAAAGTAAAGGAAAAGAGAAGACTGAGATCATATTAGAATTAGACGATATCCTAGATATTACGTAGGCACCACAACCACCGCCACCACTATCGCTATCACCATCACCGGAACAACCACCACCATCACCACTCCCACCAAGACCACCACAACCACCACCCCCACCACCAAGCATCACATCAAGAGAGACTGTAAATAATGAGAGTGTGTTTTTGTTGTTTTTAGCCTCTGACATGCGAAGACTATAGCGGGGTCCTAAAATCACCAAAAGTGGAAAGCACGTCAGGACGGTCTGGACCAAGGTACAGACAGACACAACAAGCTTCAAGGAGATCGACCCAGAAGCGAAGGAAGGACGCGCCAGTGTGGTTACCAGAATGCTCGGGTAAGAAATGAGAAGAGAGGAAAAGAAGAAAATAATAAAAGCAACAAAGTGAAGATTTTAAAGAAGGAAAAATATTACAAATAAGTAAAGAATTTGTAATAACATGATATATGATAGATAGATAGTAATGGTGAGTAAAATAAATGTGATACGAAGAAAAAAAAGCATAAGTAGCAAAAGAAAAATAAGAAGACAAAGAAGAGAACGAAAGAAAATATTATAAAACAAACGTCTCCAGCTATAGAGGGACCTCTGACACACATCACAGAGACACAAGAGACAAACCAGAGTGGCGTCTAGGTCGTGTGGACTGTACTAGGGGTAGGAGGAGGAGGAGGGGTTTAACAATAACAGGGGGTTAGGTCAACACACCATATGTGTTACAACCTCACTCAGTATATACCAAGATTATGATAAAGATATTTCTCCTCCCTCATTATATATATAACTAGTGTTGGTATAGGGAGCGGTCCTGGGCCTCCTGAGAAATTATGGCCCAGCTTGACAGAATGTAGCCTTGACCTTTGAACCAAGTCTGTTAAAACCTTCTGTTACATCTTCGTCTGCTCACCCTTTAACTAAGTTTGATTTAGGTCAACCTTCGTGTCATCCAGTAAGGACACTGAATAAACCTGTACACACACACACACACACACACACACATATATATAACACGTACATACACACACACGTATACAACACACACACACGCGGAAAATAAACACACACACACAAACACACACACAAAGAGCCTGAGCGCCGTAGAATTTCAGTAGGGGAAAATACACGTGTGCGCGCGTGTGTGTGTGTGTGAGGAAGTAAATATTGCTGAGTAGAAGACGAGTGTTTGACTGTGTGCGAGGATGTTGATATTGAGGTGAACACATTACTGAGGTACCGTTTATGTTGTGACTATGAACCACACACAACGCAACATTCTTTAGTATTGATTAAAATATTTGTTAATTATTCTCATCACTTAAAATTAAATTATAATCACATCACAATATTATCTATATCACTAATATCGTCTTTTACTTACATAGAGACAACAAATGAACCACAGTCCAAATGGAAGCAAGTCATAATGCTCCCCGCTACTATTAGGAACCAGTCTTAATGGTTAGGTTAAGTTAGGTATCAATAGTACTGTAGTCGGTAATGTTGAGACACATAACTATACGTGTTGTAGACCAGAGACTTACACACCACACATTATACTATGCATATTGTTATATATTACGAATTACACTCCATCTTAACAATGCCCAATGTATCATGCAACGCATAAAACAATGCATCATAGAATACTTTACATAGTTTTATATAATACAATAAGCAGTTTATTATACAATGTATGATATTATACTCATCTTTATACATTAAGCAATACATTATGAAGTAGACTACACTATAAAATATTAATAGATTAAAGGCTACATTATACAACACATAGTAATTTATACACCATGAAAACAATTAATTATTTATTGCATTAAATATTTGCAGTGCATTACATAATACGCCGAGTAATATATCATGGATGCATTATACACAACATACTGTACTTACTACGTCATACATTATATACTGTACCACGAGGATGGCATACAAAAAGAACACTCATTTTACATACATACATACATACACACCACGGTATGTTTACTGTATCAAGGTACAGTACTCCTTGTTCCCCCGAGCGAAAATAGGAAATAGGTCAATTTCCCACCATATTAGTTTAAGTTACAAAAAGATGAAACTTTCTCTCTCTCTCTCTTTCAAGATCTATCGAATATTCAATCTCTCTAAAGTAACTTATAATTAAAGTGAGGTACAGGCAACAGCAACAAGTAGTGTGTTGGTGGGATAAGTAACATTCCCTCTCCTACTTAAGATTGAAATATAATTAGGAATACATTTACGTTTATCATTAAATGGATAAGTAGGAAAGGATTTAGACTCAGATATAGAATTAGTTTTGGGGATATATTTAGTACTAGAATTAGATTTAAAAAAATAGGAATAAGAAAAATAGGTCTATAAACAAAATTAGATATAGCCTTAGAATCTGTAATGAGTAGATTTAGAATTAGAAAAACGTAAAATTTTATTTACCACATAAATAAAATTTGAAACAAAAAATCCAGAGTTAAATAGGAATGGGATAAAATTTCTCTTAGATAATATGTAGAAATAAAAATCAAATTACAATGAGAAGTGGTAAATTTTAATAGGTTTTAAGAATAGAAAAATAATTTGTGAAAATGAAATGTGATTCGCATTAAGTGAAAAACTGAAAGATAGAGAGATAGAGCTAAGAGAGAGGTAAACAGAGAAAATATATATATAGAGAGAGAGAGACAGAGAGATCCTCAGCACACATGTCACGGAATAGTATTACCTGTCCTCGGATAGACAGGTCACGGAATAGTATTACCTGTCCTCGGATAGACAGGTCACGGAATAGTATTACCTGTCCTCGGATAGACAGGTCACGGAATAGTATTACCTGTCCTTCGTTACAGGTAACGAAGAGGAAATAATGCGGGTGAATAAGGACAGAAACGCGCGGAAATTGGAGTCAAGTTCCTTGTAGGACAGATATGAGACAGAAAGAGAGGGAGAGAAACGGGGTAGAAACAACAAAACATAAAAGGGAGAAGGGAAGAGGAACAGAGAGAAATACATAAAGACAAATAAAGTGAGAGGGAGAGAACGCGCATAAAAAAAATATATATTGGTATATCGTGGAGCTACAAGTGTTGTTCTTACCTTGAGTCAGGAGACGCTTGGTAAGATCCATGCCGGAGCCTTGACTCAGAGCTTCCTTCTCCCTTATGAGTCCTTCCAGGTAGCTCCCGTCAGCGGCTGCTCCACCACCACCTGCTGAAGAGGGTGACCCAACGCCTCCCACCGGCATGCCAGGGGCGCCTCCTCCGACGACCATGCCCCCGGCGGTAGTGATGTCTCCGTCCAGAGCAACCACTCCTACGTCCTTACTTAACTCATCCATCGCGATCTGGAGGAACTGGTGGTAGTGGTGGTGGTGCTGCCGCTTCTTCTGTGCCGCCGTAAGGAAAGGTGTTTTATTCTCACGAGGTCGAGTTTCAATTTTTGCCGTCGAGTGGGAGATGAGTTCTCGTAAAGTCTTGATTTCGTTAGGAATTAATCACGGGACGCACGAGAGTGTTCAGTACTTTCGGCACAAACCACAAGACGACGCTGCTCCTACCATCGAGAGATATTCACAACACCATTCAACGCTAAACTCCTTACAAATTTTACCAATAAAAAAAAAATTATCCTTTTTTTTTTAGATGATCTCGTCCTTGGGAAGACGGACAGATGTGAGCCAAACTGATGGCTGGGTTACAACTAGTACGAAGACCAGACTCTTAGAAGTGCTCGAGCGCGGGAACGTGTCGTGTGTCGCGCGTGTGTATGTGTGTGAGAGAGAGACAGAACGAGAGGAGTAAGATGCAGCCTCCGCGGATGCTGGTGGTACACTGGCACCCCACGCGCCACCCCACACTCCCTCACTTCTCCCGCCCCTCACGACCTCCCTCCCCTCAAGTCTCGTACACCTGTGCAGGCCTCCACACACACACACACACACACACACACACACACACACACACCTCTAGAGACCTGCACCGCTGCACCGTTCTCGAGAAATTTTCCTTCAGACTTCCGAGAGCCTCCGTCGACCTTTACCGACTACATATAGACCCCCCACAGAGACCTTACCAGACTTGAGAGTAATCCCCTCGTCATTTTAGAGACCGGCAAGGAAGGAACTCTAAGGCGCCTCACGGACCAATAAAATTCTCCAAAGACCTACTGAAACTTGTACGTATTTTTTAGAGCCTATCGGAAGGACCTCGGGATACTCAAGGACCCTCTAGGATACCTTTGGCTACAAACTACCACAAACTTCGTAAAATACCACGAAAGACCTCTTCAGATCTCTACAGACCAATTATAAACCTCCTACAATACATCCACTAAAACCTAAAGACAGATCTCACAGTCGCCACAGACCTTCTACGAAAATACAGACCTTCCAGGAATAACAAACCTCTTCAGACATCAAGGGAACTGAAAAGCCCTCCCAAGACACCTTCACCCCCTCCCCCTACGCAGACATTCAAAGAACCCACCAACCCTCAACAGACCACCGCAGACTTCCATGGACCCCTAGAAATCCCTTTTACAGATTTTCACAGACTTCTGCACAGGGGCTACAAGCTTCCCCACCAACCTCACTATTTTTCAGACGTTTGTGTTATTTCTCTTATCTTTCCCCTGCCGCCCTGTAAGCTCTCCATCGCTTTTACACACACACACACACACACACACACACACACACACACACACACAGATACACAGACACACAGATACACAGACACACACACATTCATTTTCTCTCTCAAGCTATTCAGTTTAATATTTATTTGTCTATAGCTCTCTCTCTCTCTCTCTCTCTCTCTCTCTCTCTCTCTCTCTCTCTCTTCTTAAGCTATTCACTCAAGTTTTTATTTTATCTGTTACTTCCTTCCCCTTCTCTCTCTTTCACTCTCTCATTTTCTCAACTATACATTCATTCTCCTTTTCTCTTCCTCCGTAGCTTTACCTCCCGACCTACTTATCTATCTGTATATCTCCCTAGTGCCCTAATTTATGAATAGACTCATCCATAATAAAACAAGAAACATATATTATAAAAATATATGAATTTGAGAAGAGAGGTAAAAATTTCAAGATGGCGGCAGAATCAGCTTAAGACTATACTGTACACTGATTCTAATAAGTTGGTTTTATGACGCAAGATATACAAGTGTTGTATATGAAAGTTAAATACGAGTTATTAGAGTATTCGGATCACGTAAAGTTTAGGCACCTCAGTTTATTTTACCTGATGATTAAACACACCAATACTACCTACGGGGGTTAGGTTAGGTTAGGTTAGGTTAGGTTTGGTTAGGTTAGGTTAGGTTAGGCTAAGATGGTTAATTAAAAATAATATATTCTGCGGTGTGTAGTCTTGAGATGATCCCATTATCTAAGGTTAACAATATGTAAAACAGTTAAAGAATAGACCTTCGTTAACTTATGGTTGACATTTGTCGGCAGGTGAAATTCATCCAAGATTTGTGAGAATTGAAGAAAAAGTGAAAACTGGAATAATGAGGACGAGTTATGAGTTAAGATCCATATATCACGGAGATTCTAGAGGTCGTCTGACATACTGGGAAAATTGTATGACTTAAAAATGAAAATGAAGAAAACGTTTGGCTATGACTGAGAGAGAGAGAACATTACTTTACGAGAATGAGTAAAAGAAATCAATGATAACTGGCCCATAAAATCACGTGATTAATGATGGCGAATTCAGAGGTAGTCAGTTAGTTAAGAGCTGAATATTATATTATTCAGTGCACGGTGGTGTGATATCGTGACACAGATAATGTTAGGATTATTAGGTTATAATTTATGAGGCAATACGAAAGAGCTTACAGTGTAATACAGTTTGGTATAAATCGTTGGTTTAATTACTGCATGGTTCTGTACATCATTACTGATTGAGGGCTAAGTTAGTTAATTTAGGGGAAGGGAAGAATACATTTATCTTTTGTTGATCACTGGTGTATTACCTAATGTGATATACCTGTTTAAATACCTTCATCGTTATAGAACAGTTATACATTAACACTTATTGTATTTATGAATTTAAAACACGCGCTGAAAGACCTTAGTCGCCACAACGCAGTGAATACATTATAACATCAACACAAGACCTCATTTGGTAACTCAATGAAAGGTGTTAATTAATTCATCTTCTCAGGTTTCCACAAACCTCTGAGTTTCCTTTAATTAGCGTCTGCATAATTATAACCCAAGGTTGTAGTGAGCACTAGCTAGGAACCTTAAGACACTCGTATAAGGCATAAATATATTGGTGGTAAGTCTTTAATAGTTTCTAAGTATACTGTATTGAAATCAGCAAAACTTTGTCTAATGAGGTTAATGTTATTCACGTGAGTAAAAAGTTTTACCCCAGCACAAAAGATAGGAAGTTAGCTGAGGAGATCTATGTTAGTTCACATTAACTATTGAATGAGGTAGTTTAGGGCGTCCAACTGCGTCTTTTCATGTAAAAATATATAAAGAAATAACAGTCATAAATAACCTAAACATGATACAGGTCTCGGGGCTATAATATAATATAAACTATAATGATATATTCAACGCATAATATTTCCATATATATTCGAGATATACGTAGTTAACATCTACATATTTATAACAGAGGTGTTGGCAGCTGTTAGCGAGAAAACAAAACATTTCTAGGGAACCAGTTTTAGGATAGCCAATGACGGGTGAAACTAACGACTAGATCAGAATGAAGAGAACTACCTAACACAGACACGACACCTGAGTATAAGACTTAACAGCTGTAAGAACAATGACCAATATACCTGACTTTATCCCTAAGTGAGAGATAAATCACACAGGTAGACACGAGAGTATAATAAATCACACAGGTAGATACATACATACGCGTCTTGTACAGTTAACCATGGAGGCATTGTAGTTCATACTGACCAACCTGAAAAGAAAAAAAAAATATAGAGAATAGTTAGTTTATTTGGCTTATAGGGGCAAGGAGTTGGAGTAAGTGATGATAAGTGAGAGGTAGATAGATAGATAGATAGATAGATAGATAGATAGATAGATAGATAGAAAAAAAAGATTGGCAAAATATATACAAAAAACTATCAGACAAACATATGAGAGAGAGAGAGAGAGCACAGTACGTCCCGAGTCACCATAATTATGTTGCCTAGTAATTGATGGATAAATGGAGGTGACGAAGTAGGGAGAAGAAGGGTGAGAATGAAGGGAGATAACTGTTGAAGAGAGGTGAGGGAGGGAGGGAGGGAGGGAGGGAGGTGGTGGGGGGGTTAATAGACTTGTGACTAATATATCAACCAAAGGTAAAAAAAAATATATATGAAATAAAAAACAGAAAGAAGACCCAACCCAATACTTTATTTATGGACCAAATTTGACCAAAGTCGTAATTGGAAACTTGTGATAGTGTACTCAAAGCGCCAAAGGGATTCATGGCTCGTTAGTTAGGGTTTGTCAAGTGAATTTCATTAGGAGTTTTTTTTCTTAATTTAAAGGTCATCTCTACTTAATTTAAAGGTCAACTCTTCTTAATTTAATGGTCAACTCTTCTTAATTTAAAGGTCAACTCTACTTAATTTAAAGGTCAACTCCAATCCAATTGGAAAAAAATTGTGTGCTATTGTTGTTACATAAAAATGATTGAAAACTTTATAAAAAATAATAGCAGGATGGTTTTATCGTAATAATGATTTTATATTAAGTGCGATAATAAAATACCCAGAGGTTGCCTATGGTGTGACGTCATCAGAGGATCTTGCCAACTACAGGTCAAAATTTCGGTGCTAACAATTTTATATACATAAATTTCTATAAAATTAAACAGTATATCGTATTAATACTAAAGAATAACAGTTTAAAAAGTCTAGTATTAACCTCCCACAACCGCTCCTTATGACAGCTGAACTATAACCAGACCTCCACTTTAAGTTCAGTGATAATTATACTGCCCAAACCTACTGAATGTTGTCAGATACCAAATATTGCCTAACTTATATTCCATTAAAAACTATCGTCTTATTATAATTTATTAACATCATGTATATGGGTATCTTAAATTTAGTTATATTAGGATTATGTAAAGTTTAGCGAATGTATAAATTGGATACATTAAGAATATGGAGTTTCTATATATTGACCATATCCTCCCCTATAATGCCTCGAGTGACGTCACAGCCACTCTAGAGACGATAATGTTTTTCACTTTAATTCTGCTATAGTAGTCGAGGTTTTTGTTGCCATCACAGTTCATTTTTAATATCAAAACTTGAAAATTTATGGAGATCTCTTAGAAAACCAATTTACTTCTGAACTATCCTT